GCTCCCCAGATCCCCAGACCACGTAAGCCGGGAGCTCTGACCGGATGGCGGTGGCTGACCCCATTGCATCTCCTCTGCACAACTCTCTTCCCACCCACCCTGGGGTAGCTGTGTGGGGTTTTTTGCTTTAGTGACTGAGGGCTAATTTTCTTCTTCTTTCCTCTTTTCCTCTTTTAAAGGTGAACCCCACGCCGCAGGGTACGCGAGCACTGCTGAAAATGATGTACTGCCCATACTGCCGAGGTTTGGTATCGGTGAAGCCCTGTTACAACTACTGCTTTAATGTCATGAGAGGCTGCTTGGCCAACCAAGGGGACTTGGACGCTGAGTGGAATATCTTTATGGGTAAGGCAATATGGGTTAAAACAGCATGTGAGTATATATTGATACTGTGTCCCTCACTAAAATGGCTTTTTTGAGTGACTGTGCTGAGCTACAGCAGGTTTTTTAGGTGTCTGTGATGGGTATCTTTTCCTTCCACGCTTCTATATACAGCACACCTTTTGCAGTTCACATTAATTTCTAAATAAATAAGACTTTTCTTGTGCCAGTGACCTCTGTTGCAGCAAGCTTTAGGAAGATGGAGCTGCCACGTGCTTGTAGGCTTGGAGCATCTCTTCTTGCTGGAGCAAGTGTGTGAGCAAGCTGTTTTTTCCATACTACTTCTTACTGTTGTCACCATATAGCTGTCCTTCCCGAAGCCAGTTTTCTTGCTCAGCAGTCTGGGAGTCTCCCTGCCAGCCGGGGGAGCTTTGGGAAAAGCTGTAGGCCTGTATTTTACATTAAAAAAATTGAATGGGACATGTGTCTGAATCTGTTTTTAAACAGCTCATTTGGCGCTCGGCCACCATCCTTTTGGAATGTGGATAGGCCTTACGTGATGCTGTGCGAGTGCTTTTGCCATCCTCTTCCTCCTGTTTGTTATTTCTCTTCCGTGCTTATAAAGGGTATTATTCGATATATGAAATTTAGACCGAAAAGTTAAATTCTACCTTGGGTCAAGGCTCAGCAGAATTGGCGATGCATCACGTTTTGGGAGCACAAGCAATAGACAATGTTAAATGTTTTCATTTGTGCTCCTTTTCCAGGAGGCTTGATTTATCTGTGAATGAGCATCCTTTGGGAGCAGTCGCTTCACTCCAGTTAACGTGTGATGAAGTGCACATGTAAAGTATCTGCCGCTACTGACAAGGCTGCAGTACTCTTCCCATCCCACTCGTGGAAAAAAAAAGACCATTAGAAAGAAAAGATTTCCCTTTCATTAAGCTGTGAGATAAAAAAAGGGAAATTGCTGATAACTGGCATTTCAGGCTAGATTTAAATCTTAGAACTTGTTTTCCTGTGTTTTGCACACTGGCTTTTCACTTTGCTGCCTGTGCCAACTGGATGTGTGCAGGGTATTATCTTCAGAAGGCGTTTTTTTGCCTGCGTATTCTATATAGGGAGCTAAGTGTGACACTAAATTGGGTTTCCAAGTCATTCTCTGGGAGGCTGACGCCTGCCCCCCCCCATTCCTCCCAGCTGTCTTTCTCATGAGAATATTCAGTATTTCAGCTACAATTGTTGCTGAAATAGCTCAAAGCCAGGAGACTTGCAAACATCTAGTCCAAGTAGAAAAGAGGAATCCCATGAAAGGGAAGGGCATAATGCCAGAAAACAGACAAAAGCACAAGCAGCTAATTGCTGTAGGTGGTATGCAGCTAAAAATGAACCTCGGGGGAAGCCAGCAAGCCCTGTCACACGAGACTGATCAGGGGCTGCATACAATAATGAAGATTATTAAACAAGACAAAATAAATAAATGCGATTCCAGGTTGGATGCAAAGCTTTCTTCTTGTGGTGCTTCCTCCCCAAGGGGCTTCATGCCCACTCATTACTTAAGTATGGTATTAAGCTTCGTTACATTTATTGGCAGTATTTGCTTGGTTCTTGCACTCTGGGTTGATTCTTGCAGTGGAGTACGGATACTGAAAACTTAAGCTGTGCTTTGTTTAGACAGTTTAATAACTGAACAAGTTCAGGTTATGTTCCAGATTTTGGTTTCTATCTCAATTTGCCACTTGAGGCAAATTAAACTAAATAGATCTGGTGTTTGGGGCAGGGCATATGTCACAAATATCCTTTGTGTGTTTAAAAGATTAAATAAATAAATAAACCAAAACAAACAAACAAAAACCCCTAAAAGCACCCCACAACAACAACAAAAAACCCACCTGCATGGGCTTGATGCTGTTTTGCATCGCAGGTTTAAGTACTAAGTTATGGCAATGATTTATTATGTGTCAAAACCAGATTTTGAACCTAGCGAAATAATTTAAAGATAGTTAAATGGGAGAACTTACAACAAATGCTGCAAGTATATGTGAATTTGGGTGCATGTGCGTATAAAATACATATGTGCATGTGTTAGTGGGTCTATATGCAAGTCACTTATGTAAAGTTTTTCCAAACTGGGATGTAAAGTTTGTAGGTTTTTTTGTGACAAGAAGACTTTATACTTCCTTACTTCTGCAAAGTACCATTTAAAGTTGCAGCATATGAAATAATGACCAAATTGTACTCTGTTCTCCCATTTAACTATCTTTAAATTATTTCGCCCTCTATTCCTGACACAATTGTACACCAATTAGACAGGGGCATACTTTGTTTCAAACAAGCTGCTGGGGGGGTTGGAGCTTTCCTGAATGAACAGTGTTAATCTCCAGTGCCTTTTCATGATTCCACCCCCCCAAGGTTTAGTCTGCTCAAAGATGTCGAATTCAGGCTCCATATACATTTCTGGAGTACTACTTCCCGTGCAAAGAATTTTTTTCCCCTTTAAAAAAAAAAAAGATTGTTGTTAATGAATGGTCAAGGTCTTCCCCCTCCTTCCCTCCCCTTTTAAATCAGATCTTGGGGTTAAGACTGAAAACTGCCTTTTGTTCTTCAAGTCAGACAGTGAGGCTGAAGATGTGGGTTTCTGATTATTGGTGGCACAATGCGAAAGAATTGCCGAGGATTGTCTCAATGCCAGTAGCAAGGACAAATGTTTGCAGGAGGAAAAGGGTCTTTAAAGGATGGCGCTATCTGGTGTGGGTTGGGTTTTTTTTTTCCCTCCCCCCCCATTCCACTTGTATCTCCCCATTACAGGGAGGAGAGACAGTCTTTGTTACGCTGTGTGTTTGTAATAAATGGCCAGGGTACGCTTTTCACTCTGCCAGACTTTTTTTTTGTGAAGCAGGTCTGAGCCACCTCACCATGGCTTATAAATATCAATTATTTTGCACCAGAGCCGGGGCAAAATAATTGATATTTATAATCAAGTCCTCTCTCCCAGTAATGGAAAATCTTTTTGGGAGACGAGTTGCACGAAGCTTCATTTCTGGTTTTAGTGCAGCGTGCCTCCCCTCTCGACATGCTAGCGTTATCTTGAACCCCAGCCAACCCTATTAATGTCAAACGTGGCTGCCAGGGGGAATCACTGCTCACCACGACTGCTGGTGGGGACACCAGCCAGCTCCTGGTGGGAGGTAAAAGTTTGCAGGATACCCCCAAAATCAAAACTGTGGATGAGGTAGAGCCCCCCCCCGCCCCGGCTTTTTTCCTTTTGCTTTTTTAATGAAAGTTTACTTCATTTAGTGCTCCTTGCCAGTATCTATCCCAGCTCCTGAAGAGCTCCAGTTGAATATATTCTCCAAGGGCAATTATTACTTTCCTTATCTTTTCTTGCCAGCTTTGGCAGCTCTGCTGGAGGCCGAATGCATTTTCTCTATCCGCAGTCAATGCGGAGGCTGCATTCCTGGGCTGTGATACATGTAACGCCATGGCACCCCCGCTAACAAAGGACCCAATTCGCTCTACATTCCCATGGTCTTGTGGATGGCCTGCCCGGCTCAAAGTTTACAAAGACGCCAAACAGCCAGAAGAATTGGGGTTTATGTTTCCTTTCAGTCTTTCACAAACACTTTATTGATCTGCGGCCTTTCCTGGCCACTTGGAGAATTAAGTAGTTACAAAATGGAATGATTTTTCTTTTTTTTTTTTTCCTTAAAATATGCATGTTGTGTATTTTATTATCTATCTATTCATAATATTTTTATTTGAAATGAGCGGCTTCCCGCAAACTGCACCGGGATGTTCTTTATGCGCGTGAAAAACCCCAAAAGCTTTGACAATGATGAACACATTTAAGTTGTGCTCCACTTGTTTACAAAAGTCTCCATTTGGTAGCACATCAAAAGCATTTTTCTCCCCTCCGGCACAATGGTATATTCATGCTAGCAGTCATTACTCAGAGATTTGAAGCATCACTTTATTGGAGCCCACCACAATACAGTCTAAGACTCTTTGTTTCATTTGTTATTACCTTCTTTTTTTTCTTTCTTTTTTTTTTTTTTTTTTTTAAAAAAATGCATTTAGTTCAGACCTGTTTGTAGTCCCTGACGGCTAAATTCCAGCCGTGCCCTGCAACAGCTCCATCATTGATGCTGGTGGTGTGTGCCTGCAGGGCAAGGGGCTTTCCTGGGGGCTCCAGCTCCTCCCGGGGTTCACTCTCTAAATGTCGGCACCTTGGCGGAGCTGCGTGAATCCTGGCTGACGTGGTTTTTAGGATGGGTTGATTGACTGTTTGACCCTTAACTAACACCCAGCAAATGTTTGGAATACTGAGTTGCCTTTAAAAAGTGGATTTACAGGCTAGGAAGACATCTGCAATTCATGTGGGGGATTTGGTGTTGGATTATTTATTATTGTTGTTGTTGTTGTTGTTGTTGCTATTATTGCTATTATTGCTATTATTGCTATTTAAATACACAAATAGCTTAGTTGTATATTTATCATCAGTTTGTGGTTTTTTTAGTGTAGTTTACATGACTTGGGCACTAAGGCAGAGTTATTACGAGATTGTTCGGTGTGTTGAATATCTTTATAGGGCTTTAACAGGTAGCTGGAGCCCGCAGAAGTTTTCTGCTTGTTGCGCTTAGGAGGAGGATGAATGTCATGAGAAACACTTTTCAAGAGAAATTAATAGCCTGACTGTGAAACGCCCATTTCTCCTTAATGGAAGGGAACAGGCGTATCCTTGGGAGCAGGGAGGAGCTCCTCAGGAGAGGGTTTCCTCAGGGCTGGAGGGGCCGTTGTGCCTTGGCCTCCTACGTCATGCAGGCTAGGAAAAATTGAAGAATTAAATGCAACTGGAAAATTATGAGTTTGTGGCAGAGCATCACGGAGTGACGCAGGAGAGGAGACCAGCAAACAGGGTGCTCCAGGGTTGAGGGACTGCAGTGAAAACAAACGTTTAAATAAAGGTTGCAATGGGCAAGAAGAGACGAGTGCTTAGCATGAGGTGTGTACCTGGAGGTACCTTCTAGGGGAGAACCAGAGAGAGGGCTGAAATGCAATGCAGGGTGAAAGCCTTAATGCTGATGATAATTTCCCAGAGGAAGTAATGGAAGTTTGGTAGCTGCTATGTTTAATGATGTATTTGATGAGGATGTGCATGTCGGCACAGGAGGAATGACCTGGTGTTGGCTGAGGGACTTTTCCATCTCCACTTGCATAGAGATGTGCCAAATATATCATTAGTGCACAATGTTTACCCTGGTCTCATGCAGTCTCCCTCGTGCAAATTGTCCATGCAATGCCAGAAGGTGTAATCCCTTGGCTTCCCCAGGCACAGCAAAGCCTCTAGCTTTCCATAAGGGAGAGATGGTAGCGATGGTCATCTTGGGCCCTTTCACATTGGTGTCTTGCGTTCAGGACCAGGATGAGGAAGCCGGTGGCTTTCTATCTCTCAGCTTTGAAAGCAGTCTTGAAAAACAAATGACACAAGGAAACCCTTAATAAAGGAGCATGGAGAGGAGGGTGTTAGTAATGCTTGTTCTAATGGGAGGAGTTGATTACAGGCTGCCTTTTGGCAGGCTGCGATGGCTCTCCCTCGTTTAACGCGGCTTTTGATGTATATGAGCCCGTGGCTTGGTGCTGGCAGCCTCTAAGTGCCTGGTGAAGTTGTAGGCTCTGGGAAAGGAGCAGAGTGTTTCCTGGAGATGTGCTCTGGTCAGAAGCAACGTTGTGGTGGTTAATGTCTGTGCGCTCAATCTGTTATCCTTGTTATCTGTTATCCTTGAAGCTCCTCCATTAAAAGCCTTCGTTTCTCTCTTTGTGTTAGATTCAATGCTGCTGGTAGCAGAAAGGCTGGAGGGTCCCTTCAACATTGAGTCAGTCATGGACCCCATTGATGTGAAAATTTCAGATGCGATCATGAACATGCAGGAGAACAGCATGCAGGTGTCTCAGAAGGTAAATGGGCCAAGAGGACACTCGGGCTTTATTTATCCAATGTGTTTTATTTCCCTATTCTCATCGATATGTTTTTTCTTTAATGTCCTTTCAAGCATATATAAAGCTGATGTATTATTTTGGGCAGGGGCTGGGTTGGAGCTTGGCTCTTGTGACCTCCCACTTCATAAAACCCTTTCCTTCTCTCATGTAGGTTTTCCAGGGATGCGGCCAGCCAAAAACACTTGCCCAGGGCCGGACCGCTCGCTCTGTCTCTGAAAGTGGTTTCAGCGCTCGTTTTAGACCCTACAACCCGGAGGAGCGGCCGACTACAGCTGCTGGCACAAGCTTGGACCGACTGGTGAGTGCCTGGTCCTGCTGGTGCCATGCAGGCGCTTCGCACCCATGTACCGCAGTGTATAATTTTCCATTTGTAATTTATAGGGTTTCTTAATATTCCTTGGCTGTCTTAAACTCTCTGAGGGGTGTAATCTGCCTATGGCTCTAGACGTGAATTACCTCAACGCTTGTATGTCAGCAAAGTGCCTGTTTTAAAGGCTTGGCTTATGAGTAATATGTGTTTGAGGAGCGGTGTTTAATTTTGTATTAAAAAAGTAAATCAACCATCAAAACACGCAACCTGAAGATCTGGCCTATACACGTCTGTTGTGATAAAAAATAACTTTCCAGCTTCACTTTTAATGAGTATTTGGTATTCTGGATTATGTCCTGTGTTTCTTTTTTTTCTTTTATTTAATAGGTTACTGATGTGAAAGAGAAGCTGAAGCAAGCCAAAAAATTTTGGTCATCTCTCCCTGGCAACATTTGCAACGATGAAAAGATGTCTGTAGGCACTGTCAATGAGAACGAGTGCTGGAACGGGAGCGCCAAGAGCAGGTTTGGCGATGCTGCCGTCCCCGGTTAACTCTCTCCCTCTTGCTCCAGCCTTTCCCGGTGTGCCGGCTCCTCTCCCCAAGCCCTCTGCTCTTACGGGACTGACCCCAGCTCCCCCGAGACAGGCTGCTGCCATTACCCCTTTTTTTTGTAGATGAGAGAGCTTGAATGCAAAGCTAAAGGGTTGTCCAAGCTTTACCTGGTGGTTTGTTTTAAAGGAGAGAACTGAGTCTGTAGATCTAGATAACAGTGTCTCTCCTTGGACCTAAACCTCTTACCAGTTGCTCACAGGTCTGGGGAGGCGATTTGTACAAAATCCTGTAGCTCGGCCAAAGAGCAGGGATGCTCCTGTTGTCTGGCAGCACTGTTGCCCCAGTGCCTCCAGCTGGTGTTTCTACCAGGAGCTATTGCTGGGTTCCTTGTTGAGCAGGGGCAAGGGAGATGGGGTCTGGTGACAGGTCTGCTTTTCCACTCCTGAGGTCAGTGGCACGAGGGGGACAGGGGTTTTCGTGCACGCTTTTTATGGAAAAGGAGTTACAAAACTTTTTTTTTCTTTTTTTTCTTCTAAGGAAGAAATTACCAACACATGAATAAGCCAAAGGTTTTCTGTCATATGGTTTATGTAACTGCTTAACTTTTATTTTGGAAATAAGAGTTTCTTTTTTTTCTGTTTGCTTACTGAGGAAATAAGCAAAATCCAGGATGTTCCATTAAAAAAAAAAAGTCGTCCAGGGTTTTTCAGCAGTTTTTATAAGTAATAACAGTTTTTGCCCTTGATATTTTTGGGGCACATGACTGAGCCATACTGCATAAATTTTGCACAATTTTGTGTGTGCCTGGAACGGCATTGCTTGGCCAGGGCGATGGTTTGGGTCTCTGCAACAAGAAATGGTTCTCCCCTCCTGAGGTCTTGTTTATCAGCAGCTTGTACAGGGCTTTTCACGGCAGATTTCCCCAGTGTATGAGGTCTGGCATCAGTAAGGAGTGGAGATGGAGACTTGGCAGCACTGGGCAAGGAGACAGAGGCGGGTGTCTGGGGGAGGCTGGACCTACTGCCATCCTATGTGGGTTGTGCAAGATAGTTTGCTTTGCTGTTGCTCTTTCCTCTGTGGCTCCAATAAGCTAAAAGTTCAGTAGTCTTCCACACTTTGGTCTCTCTCTGACCTCTTTGCAACATATAATATTAATCACAAATCATAACAACAACAGCAACAACAATAATAATAATAATAAAAAACCCTCCCAAATATAGGACAGGGTTTGAGCATGCCCTTCAGACGTATGATTATATCTCACTGCCAGGACTCCAGGAGCAGTAGACTGTGCTAAAGGTTTTTCTCTCTCTCATGATACTGATGTTGGCATCATAACTAAGCAAAAGTAATGTTTTCTTCTGTTAAACAGTGATTTTTCTTGCAAGTCAACTAATTGGAGGAGGAAAAAAAAGTGTTGTATCCCTGCTCTATAAGATGATACACCAAATACCTGTTTCAGGAGACGTATTCTTTTGGGTTTTGTGGCTCAGTCTCTCTTTTAAACCAAGAGGCCGTACGTGTGTTCAGACCTGAGCATGCACACCTCCTCAGGCTGAGCAGCTCAGCTCTCCTCTGCTTCGATGCGTGGGGTTACGTTATCTCATCTTCAACAACACAGATGTTTCTCCTGCTGGGGTTATTAGGGAAATCGCATCTCATGTCTGCGTGGTGATAAGTACACATTTAATACCCCAGCTTGATGGTTAAGGTGCATTATGCAAAGCCAGAATGACATTCTTGCCTCCAACAGTTACTATAGGTTTCTCTGGGATAACTATGGCCCCAAAAGCTGTTTTCCTGAAAGTGTCATCTAACTGGGTGTCAAGGCATCTCAGCAGCTTGTTTTGCTCTGTTGCCTGCAGCGAGCTGATTTATGCTGTTGTAAGCCATTATTAACATAGACCCTGGATCTTCCTTCTCTTTTCAAGTTGGGGAGAAACTTGTCTTTCCCCTGCCTTTGTGGCATAGGGTATATGAAAACAATGTTTAATTTCACATGCTGCTCAGGTTGCAGGGAGGGGAGATGGGGTAAAAAGCCGGAGAAGGGCTCCGTGAGGGTTAGCATGTGGGAAGAGCGTGTTGGGCTCAGGATATCACCCGGGCTGGAAACAGGGGTGGCATCGCTGAGTTCCTATGCTCTCGCCCATCGGCACAGGGCTCCACTGAGCTGCAGCTCCGGTACCAGCAGGAACGGTTTCTTTTCAGGTATGACTTTGCCGTGACTGGAAATGGCTTAGCAAGTCAAGTGAATAACCCAGAGGTAGAAGTTGATATTACCAAGCCAGACATGGTGATTCGCCGGCAAATCATGGCTCTGCGGGTGATGACCAACAAGCTGAAGAATGCGTACAGTGGGAACGATGTCGACTTCATTGACATAAGTATGTTTGCTGTTGTTTGCCTTTTACTTTTTCTTTTTCCCTTTTTAATTGGATTTCATGCTAACATGGGGTAGCTGGTTAAGCTTCAGCTATGGGTACACGTGTTAGTAAAGAGGGTGGGAACCAGCATCTCTGACAGGCTGTGCGAGGGGGGTTGTTCCCATAGAATCATAGAATAGTTTGGGTTGGAAGGGACCTTTAAAGGTCATCTAGTCCAACCCCCCTGCCGTGGGCAGGGACATCTTCAACTAGATCAGGTTGCTCAGAGCCCCGTCCAACCTGACCTGGAATGTTTCCAGGGATGGGGCATCCACCACCTCTCTGGGCAACCTGTGCCAGTGTTTCACCACCCTCAGTGGAAAAAATTTCTTCCTTATATCTAGTCTAAATCTACCCTCTTTTAATTTAAAACCATTCCCCCTTGTCCTATCGCAACAGGCCCTACTAAAAAGTCTGTCCCCATCTTTCTTATAAGCCCCCTTTAAGTACTGATAGGCTGCAAGAAGGTCTCCCCGAAGCCTTCTCTTCTCTGGGCTGAACAACCCCAACTCTCTCAGCCTTTCCTCACAGGAGAGGTGTTCCAGCCCCCTGATCATTTTTGTGACCCTCTTCTGGACCCGCTCCAACAGGTCCGTGTCTTTCTTATGCTGAGGGCTCCAGAGCTGGACGCAGTACTGCAGGTGGGGCCTCACCAGAGCAGAATAGAGGGGCAGAATCCCCTCCCTCGACCTGCTGGCCACGCTGCTTTGGATGCAGCCCACGATACGGTTGGCTTTCTGGGCTGCGAGCGCACATTGCTGGCTCATGTCCAGCTTTTCATCCACCGGTACGAATGGGTGTGACGAACGGCACGCGGAAGTTGCATTAACCAGAGGACCCGTGCTTACATCTCATAAATGTCGAAACATCCACGCGCTTGCCTTTCCTCCCCCACTGCTGCCTTCTGCAAGTGAAGCATGGCATTGCAGATGGCAGAGGTGGACAGCATGTGTTTGTCTCCCACAGGTGAGGAGAGCAGCGGGGAGGAGAGCGGCAGCGGCTGTGAGCTCCAGCAGTGCTCCCTGGAGTTTGAGTTCAACGCCACCGAAGTCACTGGGAACTCCAACAAGAGCGATAAGAACGTGAACACTTCTGCTGCTACCAGGAGCGGTTTATCACAAGCAGCCTTGCTCCTTAGCATTTTGTTCTTGGCCATGCAAAGACAATGGAGATAATTGTGCAGCGTAGGGGGGTGGGGGGAGGGAAAGACTTTTATTATCAAAGTTAGAAGGCACCTGCTTTCACTTTTATACCATCTAGGGACTTTGCTTTTTAAGTTAATGGACAACAGTGTACAGTTTTTACTATGTTGCCACTGGTTTTAAGATACTGATTATTTTTTTCCCTTGCTATTCTGGGAGTAACAGGAACAGGGACTACCAGTCTGTCCCATTCACCAAGAGTCCATGTTAGAGGTGGATAACAAAAATGTATATACAAGCCTGTAGTTAGCTCTGCATTTGTGTCTTTATCACTTTTCTTCTTTCTTTTTTTTTATTTTATTTTACCGTATTTCCTATGAAAACAAAAAAACCCCAGGGTCTTCTCTTGGCCTGTAACAAGTATGTGTTTCTGAAATGAGAAATATCTGTACAGAAGCAGGTTTTATTTATCATGTTATCTTACGGGGAAAAAATAATTGCCCAACGAGCAGAAAACATGTTTCATGTAGTTAACTTCCCATTTATCCACATTATGTTAGTTGCCTTGTCTTGAAAGAAGTGGAAGTAATTTGTCTTTATTATGCGGTAAAAGAGAAGGTGAAGGCAGAGCTGGTCAGCGTGCCAAGTGCCCCGTTTGCATAGGGCGTTAATGCCAGGAGCAGGTTTTACTTTCTTTACAGGAGGTTTGGTTAAATTGGAAGAGACTACAGAGAATTCCAGTTCCCCAGACGCTAAGAAGAGTTGTCATTTGTTCCCCGGGATCCTTGCAATTAGCTGTAACTCCTGTAGGTCAGTTCCTGACGTGCATCCCCCGTGGGAATAAGGCATTAAACTTGTTCGGTTGGAAGCAATTTGTCGTGTCGCAGATCCAAATGCCAACATGTGTCTTGTCTGCAAATTTGTTAGGTGAACGCTGGATTAATTTTTTAATTGCTTTTTGTTTGTTTGTTTTTAAGGAATACTTTGTGGGAGGGGAGGATTTTTTTTTGCAAGAGTTTTGTTTCCTCTCTGATGGGGGGCAAAAGGGAAGGAGCAGGCGGGCAGCGACCCGCAGCACTGTTGCAGTCAGATCGGAGTAGGAGCAGGCAGGAGCTGGCAGGGCTGAAGACACCTCCTTTTCGGTGCATTTGGTCTCCTGGGAGCCGGTGCCCAGCGGCTGTAGCTTTTCGGCACTACCGGAGACACCCTCCTCTCCCTGTGCTTTCGCAGTTGGAACAGTGTTGTGGTGAACGGCAACTCATTAATAAAAGAAATGTATATTTTTAAGAAAAGAGATGAAATAATTTTTAAAATAGTTTAGGGAAAACAGTCTTTGAAAAGACTCAAAATTATTCTGCACGTCTCCTCCTGCTTTAGGTAGCCTTTAGGTCTGGCTGGACGCTGGAATCCAGCCAGGAGAGCAATTCAGAGAGAGAGGGTTTTCTCTGTTCCACCCTTGTGTTGTAAGGATAATTTTATATTTTTATATTGAAGCATTAATTACTTGTTAGCTCAGGGTCAGCGTTATATTCAACTTTATTTTCACACCAGATTTCTGCAAAGCTATAAAGACGGAGTATTCTTGGCTGGTATAAACAATCCTGGAGGCTTAATTTTACTAGAAGTAGCCAGTTATTTATTAAAACATGATGTTAGTAGAGTAGGGATATTCTGGCTAGATTATTTTTCTTTAGAAAATAAATCATGGAAGCATAAAATTGAAAAAGTTATAAATTTATGTGTGGGAAAAAATGGATTGTAAATAGCTAAGTTGCCTTGCGAGGAATTGGAAAATGTGCTGATACTTAGAAACTACCTCAGTTCTGAGGAATTTCCTTTCTAGCTTTGAGTGCTATTACATTTACTTGGTAGAAGTGAATCTGGTCTCCAATATATAGCTGAAAGAGTTATCCCTGTAGACCTTGTTAGATTGTTTTTAATTTAGAGGGTTGAACTACATCCAGCTGTTTTCTTTCAGCTAAGTTCCCTAACAAAGAGAATTTCTGAATTAAATATTGCTGATGGTTTCCATGACTTTTCCTGATTTGTTTGGTTTCATGGCATTTTCTGATTGCCCTTTAATTATTTAAATGGTTCTAGCCATTTGAATTTTAATCCCGGAATAAACAAACCTTAGATGCACTACCATTGTAAATATATCGCAGTAAGGTCTGACTGGATAACCCTTCTGGCTTATACCCAGCTGGCAGGCCGGCAAAGTTAAATGAAGAGAAAAAAAAAAAAAAATTAAACTTCTTCAGAGCTCAGAGAATGGTGGAACAAAAGCCCTTGTGTTCAGAGGGGCTGACTTCTCCAACATCTCCCTTCTTGGCGTAAGTGTTCATGTGTAAGAAAGCTGCTTGTAAATTCTCCTGCTTTTGAGCGTTTCTGCTCAGAAAAAAAAGTGTTTCTGAATTTATATTTATCGCTTTACATCTAATTGCTTACTAATTATTATTCCTCAGTTTGGTACAAGCCACCAACGCAAAGACCTGCCGTGAGTTTTAAACATGTCCAGTTGACTTTGTTAATAGCACAACGATCCTCCACTATATAAAGGACAGATTTGTCACCTGGGGCTACAGGAAACGAGAGTAAACATCAATGTAGGATGATCAAAAGTTGTGTTCCTGCTTTTATTTTGTGTTTGTGTGTGAAATCGGCTCTCTGACATGAGCTTGTAAACTAAACCATACGGGTAGGGACGAGGCATGCTGCTGGCTTTGAGGAAGGCATGTGCTCCCTTCCTTCAAGTATTTCTTTTTTTTTTTTTTTCCACATAACCGTTGCCATTACGACCATGTTTTAAAGAAAAACTCCCATATATAGAATTAATAATTAAAATTAATGGAAATCTTAAGAAGCTTCAGATGCAAAATGAACCAGAGAGGTGGTGTTCTTGGTGGCATGTGAGGTGCTGTCTCCCAAAGAGTTGGAATAAAAAAATACAGCCCTTGAAAGGACCTGATTTAACAGCTCTGTGCCTCTCTTGCTCTAGCATGTACAACTCCATGCTGCGACAGCCTCGCAGACGGCATGCGCATGCAAGCTGCTCTGGGTTTCTCCAGTGGACCAGCCTCCGTATTTACACTTCTGGTAGCAATGAAGGGGAAAAAGGAGAGCAAAAAATGAGACTCTTGTAATCAGTCTCATTTTGTGCTGTGATGGGTGGTGTGACCCTAAGTTGGGACAAATGACCAGGGCAGCAAGAGGAGTCCTCTCGCGCCCTTGGGGCAGGGTCCTGCTCATGCCCCCCAGCTGAGCCAACCTGGCTTTTGTCTTCACGGGCAAGTTGATGTATTAATTCTGGAAGGTGCAACCTCTCCGTACATTGGTCATTTCTTAGACCTGATGGTGCTGAAGTTTCCGTCACCATCCTCTAATTGCTTTAGCTGGATATAAGACTTGCTGGACCAGGCAAGACCTGGCATGGTCCTGGCTCCTTTCTCGTGATAGCGTCTGGTGTCGGACATTTCAGAGCAAGGCACATAAATATCCCTTCCATCTGTTCGGATGCTTTTAATTATCGTGTATTCCCCCCAGTAACTGCTGGCCCTGTTTGTCACCCTCCCCCCAAAGCCACCCTCTTCCCTCCTACCTTCGTGCAGCCCCCTGGTGTGAATGTGGCAGTGTCCCCCTGTGGTGACGCCGGCAACCAGATCAGTGACAGCTGGTGCCGGGGGCTGCTGCCCTGCTCATGCCCTTTGCTTGCCAGCACAAAACCACAGCATTTCTTCTTGTCCCTGGGAAGGCCCGTGCCACTGGCACATCTCCACAGCCAGGAGCAGCCGACACCCAGGTCCTGCCAGCGCAGGCAGTCCTGGAGCATCTTGGGACCCTGAGGACCACGGATTGTGTGTGTGGAAGCTGGTGGGCATGGCTGCTGCAGGAAACCCGAACCTGGATAAATCCATCTCTGACTTATGGAAGAAATTAACTTGCACCTTTTTTTTTTTTTTTTTTTTTTTAATGCTGATGGCTTTATTTTTCCATGTAAGGTGGGCTGAGTAGCTAGGATAACTGCAGAGTGTCGCTGCCTCAAGTCTGCCTGATGTGATGGCCAGTGGCCACCTGCCTGCAGTGGTCCATAAGTCAATACTGTGATACCTGTAGGGCTGGTGGGAGGGTGGCCTATCCTCTGCTGCTTCTCTTCCTTGGGATGCCATCTAGGGCTAGTAGTAATTTAAAATTAAATAAATAAATGCGTAGAAGGAGGTGAAAAATGGTGCAGGAATGTTGCAATCCCCCTCCTGGCTGGTGGGACCTGTGCTGCTACGAGGGGCACTTGCAGCCGGGAGCCACCCTGGGAGGGCGAGCAGCTGCCAGGTCAGCACTGTCCCTCCTGCCTGCATCCCCTGGGCTCCGGGTTGCAGTCCCCATCCCAAATGGTTGTGTAATGCTGTGCTCCGTGGCATCTTCTTTCAAGTGGCTGTGATGTAACGGTTTAAGGTAGCTGCAAGACACACATTGGTTAGAGATTGTGCAATACAGGTGTTTTTGGGACCACCTGAATATGACCCAACCCCAGTAATGGTTTTCATTTCTTGATAATGTTGTTTCAAGCATTATGTTTTCTGGGTTTGGTTTGCTTGTTGTTGTTATTTTTTAATCCTCTGCTGTGGTTTGTTTTAGGACTTGTAATAGTGTAAATTGCCTGGGAAGACACAGCTCTTTATGGGCTTGCTGGAATTCTGGGTTAAGGGTGCTTAAATTGCTGTAATTTGTATCTAATGGATTATATAGATTAAGAGCCCTTTTATAACTACTGGAGCAAGGAGGGACTGCCCGCCCAAGGAGGGAGGGGAAAACTTCCTGGGCATGGCCCATCCCTTTGTCCCTCTCCTCTGGAAGGGAGGACCATCCTTTTTGGCAGTACCTTGGGCTAGGCAGCCTGGCGAGAGCCAGGGGGACCCTGCCAGGCGCAGAAGGGGCAGGCGGCCACGGGGAGAGGCTTTTGCTAAACCTGGCAGGTTTTGCAAAGTTACTGGATGACAAATGAAGAGTAAGTCTGTAGGCATGATCCCATTTGGAGGATGCTGATGGCATGTCCTAACGCGTTGCCTTCCTCTGTTTGCTATCCAT